CTAAGTCCTTATTCTATTTCTTAGGGCCAGTGACTGGTATTAAATGGAATCTTTGATAAATGTTAATTTTGTGAATGAAGTTATATTTTCTTCTGAATTGAAGTTTCATCAAATAACTTTATCTGGTTACTTTTAGAGAAAGTGGAAACCACAGCATTCCAAGAGGAGTTTCTTAACAGTCCCATAGGCAGCATCAACCCTGCAGCTCCTCAGGCTTCTAACACTAAGCCTCTAGTCCATGCTCAGCATCAGGAGCGATGCAGAGGGTCTTTACAGGCAACCAAGTTCCTGGGGATGCTAAGCTAATAAAATTAAGCCCGGAGCAGAGATACTTTTTACATAAGGTGACTCTGTAGATAATGTGAGCATCTATAAAACTAAGGCTTTCTCATACGAAAACCCTGCCTTTTCTGTTTCCTAAAGTGTCTCCTGCAGCATCAGTGCAGGCAGCTAAAAAGACATCAAGAAGAAATTCAGCGTGCAGAAAGAGCGGCCTGTCTACTAAAAGGTGGCAAGTGGAGAGACAGTGGGAACCAAGAAGAAAATGGGGTGGTTTAAAATCACAAATGGGGGTGCCACTCAACGCAAAAGACCCTGAGAAGAGTGACAGGCTCCAGCTGGGGACATGTAGGTTTGGTCTGAAGCATTAAAAGCAAGATCATATGCACAAAAATGGCCATGAAGGCAGCTTTGAGTTCAAGACCAGTCAGAGCCACACTGTGAGTAAGTTCCAGGCCAGTCAGAGAGGCATTGTGAGACCTTGTCTCAAGAGTTACAGGTGCTAGGGGGCAGGGACGGAGGAGTCAGTGTTTACTGAGAACATAGCTTCCATTTACTAAGGTGGGAAAAGGTCTGGAAGCCAATGGTGGCAACAGCTGGGGCATGGCGTGAATGTCTACAGGCCCACTGAAACTTACATCTGCAAACAGTTAAGATGTAAACCTGTTCTTTTGTAAGTATTGAAAAAATAATTCAACTTAATTTTAAAAATTAAACTGGTCAATCAATAGTATACATATATTCTAAGAATGTGGGAGCAAGTGGGTGGGGAAGAAGACAGCTACGAGATGTAAAAGCCATTTCTTCAAGAGCAGCAAGAAGACTGAAGACATCATGGGTACATGGGAAGGGAGAGAGGCCCTTGGTCCTAGCCCTGGTTCTCCTGTCCTGTGGACAGAGTCAGGGGACTTCAGACCCTGATCAGTCCCACACTGGCCACCAAGGGCATGGTCTCCTAAAGATATCACAGACAGAGATGTCTAGGTCAGTAAATAAAGTGCCTACTAAGGGCCAACATGATGTACATTCTTGAGTTTTTGACATTCTTCTTCTATTCTAAATCTAAACAATACCCTCCAGAAAGCTTACAATTTTGCTCACAAAAGGAAAACTCTTTAGCCTTTAAACCTTGTAAATTATACTCTGAGCCATGTAACTTAGAAAGCCACAGGATTATATACATGCCAGCTGTACAGACCCCTGGGTGCACATCCCCCTCAAGGAGCCCACACACACTTGGGGATGTCTTATTCTTTCCCTGTCATCCTTCTGTTCACCCATGTGCTGAGGATCCAGGTTCTTTTAGTAAGTGTGTCTGCTTATGGTACACCCAAAAGTCCTGCCTGGGATGAAGCCAGAACCCTGCCCTCTTCTGACTGTTCCCTAAGGGTGGGGACACCTCAACTGAAGTGGCAGCATGGAACCGTGGTGTCTTTTTTTTTTTTTTTTAAGCTCTCTAGCAGGCACTGGAGAGATGACCTGGAGGTTAAGAATACTGGTTGCTCTTCCAGAGGACTCAGGTTCAAGTCCCAGCACCATATGGCATCTCACAACTGTCTGTAACTCCAGTCCTAGGGGCTCTGACACCCACTTCTAGCCTCTGCAGGCACTGCACGAAATGTAGTACATAGACACTGTGTACATACACCCAACACCACAGTGGTATACAGACACACTTGTAGGCAAAACACCCATATGCATAGAATACAGTACTTCATCAGTTTTAAATTTCCTTGTGGGTAAGTTTGACTTTGGTAAAGACATGTAAAGACGATTCCTGGTTTATGGTAATTTGATTTATGACTCTTCAACACTGATAAAAAAGTAATGCACACTCACAAGAAATCATTTTGTATTTTGAATTTTTTCCCCTGAAGGATAGAAATATGCAGTATGGGGCCCTCTTGGGATGCTGAGCAAGCAACAGCAAGCCACATGATCAGAAAGATAGCAGAGGATATCCCACATGTGTCCTGATGCTGAGCTGTCCAGTAGGTTAGGTGTAGGAAATGCATTTAACCCTACAGAAATTTCAATTTATGATGAATTTGTCAGCACATGATGCCACTGTAAGTCAAAGATCATCTGTATTTAAAAGGGATGGGGGCTCACATCTGTAGTCCCAGTGCTTGGAAAGCTGGGGGCAAGAGGACTGCTGTGAATTCAAGGCCAGCCTAGACTGTAGTAATGAGACAACATCTCTACAAACAATAGAATATAGTAATCACTAGTGGCGAAGTAGGAAACAGGACCCTCAAACATGCTGGTGGGAATGTGAAACTATAAACCCATTTTGAAAACAGGCATGACATTTTCTTACAGCATTAAACAGGTTTATCGTGTGACTCAGCAATACTCACCCCACACAAATGCAAACTCTACCCATAAAGAAGTGTGTGTACAGATGCTCATGTCTTGACAGCCATTTTCATAATATCCCTACACTAGAAACAGCTGGAAATGCCCACTAACTGACTAAAGGACAACATAACGATTCTCCTTTACTACCATCTCACTCCAAATGATACCATTGTCAATCACAACCTGAAATGGTAAATGGAAAATTCAAGAGATAAAGAATTTTGGAGTCTGAAATAGCATAATTCTGGGTGACACAATGAAAGCTCATGCTGCTGTCCCAATCCACCCCACCAGGGACATGAATCACCCCTTTGTCCATGTATCCATGCTATCCCCCTTCCTACCTGCAGTCCCACACTCATCGGATGGACTGTGATAGTGGTACAGTGCATGTTTTGAAGGTATCATTATTTTGTTCAATGGTCCCAATGTACAACATTGATGATGCTGATAACTTTATCTTAGTGTACTGATATATTATACATAGAATGTGTGTGTGTGTGTGGGGGGGTGTCTACATTAGTTGTGGTCATTCCATTACTGAGCCTAATTTATACATTAAATCCTATTATTTGTACTATTAAACTCCTATCTGTACATAGGAACAACATAGTATGTATGGGGCTTGGAGGTATCAGGCATCCACTGAGGGTTCTGTAATAGAGATAAGAGGACTACTATGTATTGTGTGCTTACTATATATTGTTATTCAGCCATAAAAAAGGAATGAAGTATCATTTACTGCAACATGAATGACTCTTGATAATATACTACGTTCCATGAATGAAATCATGACAGGAGACCATATACCATACATCTGGTTAGGGTTTCTATTGCTGGGACAAAACACCATGATCAAAAAGCCAGTTAGGGAAGAAAGGATTTATTTGGCTTACATATCCATATCGCTACTCATGATTGAAGGGAATCAGGGCAGGAACTCAAACAGGACAGGAACCTGGAGGCAGGAGCTAATGAAGAGGTCATGGAGGAGTGTGGCTTACAGGCTAGCACACATAGCTTGCTTGGCCTGCTTTCTTATAGAACCCAGGATCAGTAGCCCAGAAATGGCACCACCAACAATGGGCTGGGCCCTCCCCATCAATCACCAATTAAGGAACTGCCCTACAGGCTTGCCTACAGTCCTACCTTACAAAGGTATTTTCTCATTAGAAGTTTCCCTCCTTTGATGACGCTGGCTTGTGTCAAGTCGGCATAAAACCAGCTAGGATATCATAGAGTTCCATTTCTATGTATTATTCAAGGGAGACTCATAAAGGAAAAGGAGACTCATAGTCACCGAGGGGGGCTGGGGATAAGGAGGTAGTGAATGGATGTCTTTTACAGGACAACAGAAGTTTTCTAAAACCAGAATGTGGTGCTCAGGCTGCCACAACAGAAATTTCTTTCCTAAAATGAAGTTCAAGATTAGGGCATGAACATGGATGGGTCCTGGTGAATTCTTTTCTCTAACTTTCGGAAGACAACTTCTCTCTATGAGTGGCTGTGACTGACAACTGACCAACATATGGTCCAGAAAGTCAGAGATATTAACAGATGATGCTATGTGAAAAAAAGGAGTGTGTATCTGCATCTGCACAACTCTGTCTGGGGTGGAGGGCAGGAGAGCTTCAGCCTGGGGCACCCTGGACATAAGGTGCATTTCTGCCTGGCCAGGAATGTCTTCAGTGTCCTTATCTCCAAAGTGTGGGTGAGAAGAGAACACTCTCTGGAGCCTTTAAGGTACTCACAGCCAACAGCAGCTGGATACGTTTGCACCAGTAACCTTCAACTATGTAGGACCTATCCTCAAACTTACGATCCTCTCCTGCCCAGGGCCTACTTTTCTTGGGGTTTTGCTATAAAACTGCCTTCAACCAAATGTTCCCAATCTGCCATTGTATCGTCTGCTGATAATGGATAAACAATGTCTTGCAAAGCCCACATGAAAATAGTGCCCACAGTAGTAATGACAGATGGGGACAATGAGATGGGGGGACACCTTCCTGACCAAAGGCTGGTTCATCTTGCTAGAAGGCCTGCTTGACATGATTACTGCTCCCACCCCAGCTCACTGTTTAGACAGACTCTGTGTAGGAACTTCTCCAAAGAGATATCCTGTCAACTGGCTACAAAGGTGGATGGAGAAAAGTCCCATGTGACTTTAAAGACTGTGAAAGCAAATTACAAAGGCTCAGTTTGGAAGATGGCAATGAAAACATTTTCAGTGCTTCTTGTTTCTTCCAAGCTTCCATCTCTTTACCAAAGCCAGTTCTTTAAAAGCTATGCACCAAACAACAGTTCTGCAGACAAGAGGGGAGCTATTCCCGGAGAATAGCTATGGCATTTTTCCTTGTTACCTTGGTAACTGCTACCTTGGCACCCTTGTTGATGAGCTGAACCACATTCTCTGCTTGGCCTTTGTACGCAGCTATGAGCAGGCGTTCTGAAAGCGCGGCGACCGCATCCTGCTGGCTCATGAATTAGGAGAGGAAGGGGTTCTCAAGAAGCAGTAGGTCAGTTCCTTCAGCTCCACGAGCAGCCTCTGGCTAGGGCTGGAGTCCACAGGGAAAGGTGCTCAGAATCATGGGGGATGCCTTTTTACTACTCCATCTTCATGTCCTAGGGGGTCACAAAACAAAGCGGCCATCAGTGCCACTCAGCACACAAGGACAGACCGATCACACCTCTGCTATCCTCAGGTATTCTGGGTGCACAGCACAGGGGAAGAAAACTAAAGAGACAGGACACCCAAAGCTTGCTTTCACAGCATTTCAGAGGGGAAGGCGGCAGAATGTGCCAGTCTCTCCACTTCCTCCCTCCTCAGGACCATTCTCCACAAGATGGGCAGAAGTGGGAGGCTGCATTTTTACCCTGGGTAAAAAGGCTTGATACAACACAGGGTTGGAAGGAGGGAGAATGATGTAACTATATTTTAATTAATTGTTTTTAACTTTAAAAAAGAGGCCTTTTTCCCTGGACACCTCCTGATCATACATAACGATATGTACTGTGAATGATCAACCCCAGCCTTGTGGGCTAGCTTCCTATGACTCTACCATGGCTAATATGCACTCGGGGACCCTGGTAGGCAGTGCGTGTCTGAGGATGCCCACCCCACACACAGTGCACATGGTTTTCTTCATCCTTTACTTTCTGAAAACAGTGCAGCCTTCTGAGTTCTGAAGCAGAGAACTCAGATTAGTCTGAACACAGGCCCCAGGCTGACTCTAGCTCACTTCCTCACTCTAGTGCCGTTGGTTTAGGAACGCCTCCTCCACAAACACCCCACACTCCCTTGCTAAATGGGAGGAAAATAAATGGCCACAAATCGACTTAGGACAAAGCCTGGCTGTTCGCAGTGGTCTGAAGGCAGTGACTACAGTCAACTCGAACTTGTCCTTTTATGAAAGAAACACAAAGAACAGAACTCTAGAGTCTTCGCAAGTAGCCCTGGGACTATTCTTAGAACAAACCAAGTCAGGGGGGCACTGATTTTAATTCTGAGGCAGGAGGAGGAAGGATGCCTTTGGATTTTAAAATATGTCTGTAATTGCCATGGAGACAGCTCAACAGGTATAGAAACTTGGTACAAAGCCTGAAGACCTGGGCTCAGTCTCCTGCACCTGCCCCCCGACCCCCACCCCACCCCACACACCACAAAAGGAAATGCTGGAGCAAAGGCCACTCGTCAACTCAACGTTCCATCATGCTTTGGTGCTCAAGAATCTATAGGCATCTTTCATAGCTGCTTTCAGAAACTCGATGATCATGTTAATCTCAGGTCAAGTGACCAACTACCCCGGGAGGCTGGGGTAGAGTCTCATATCCAGACTCTATATACAACTCCACTCCCACAGCAGCAGGGAGTGAAAATGCTACTTCATTATAAGAAATCTAGCCAGATGTAAACACTATAATTTTAGAACGATAATTCTTACCTACCCCCAATCTCTTTATTATCACATTTCATATTGTTCTCCATTTGTTGCCCCAGATATGGGCAAAAGATAGTAAGAGATAATAAGTACACGTCTGGAGAGGAGGAAGCCATAAAGCACAGTGCCCCAGCCAGTTGGCCCTGAGATGTGCATTTCCCTTCCTGTGCTGGGCATCAAGCCTAGGGCCTGTCACATGCCAGGCAAGTGTGCTACCACAAAGTTACATTCCCTGCCCAATGAAAGAACAGAATCAAGTCTAGTGGTGAGAGAAACTGCTAGGAAGGCTTCTGGAAGGGCCCAAAGCCGCCACATGACTACATTTGGGGATTTATCTCCTGCCTCCTTACACATACACTAACACACACAGACACACGGACACACACAAACACACACACACACACAGAGACTCATACAGACACACACACACACACACACACACACACACACACACACACACATAGAGTCGTTTGAAGAGGCTTGCCTTTATCAACACAGGGTTTACTGTTTCTTCTTCTGCATGCAGGTGGGCTGTGTTCCATTCACACACATTGATTTGTTTCTCCTTCAGCTCAAATACTGAAAAAATCACTCTGCCAAATGCAGGGAAATTCATGGCATTAGCCACCAGTTCCCCAAAGATCTCCCTCTCACCTTCGAGTCCTTTCCCTTTGCACATCCATCCCCTCATCTACCTATTTGCTATCTCAGTGTACTTGGCTTCATCTCTACCCGCTCCTTCCAGCACCTTCCTTGCAAAGGATATCTGAGTCGAAGTCGACCTACTTCATAAACATTTTATCATCATTGCGGAGTTCCACCCAGTCTGCTCCAAAGCTTGCCTGAAAAGTGAGGGTCTCGGCTGTACTCTCACTGTCTGCCCCATAGCCACAATGATCCAAGCCCCTTAGCAACAGACAGAAGGTCCAACCAGCTTCTGCTAAATTGATTGCCACTTCCATCCCAGCCACCCGTCTCATGCAACAGATGACGCCCCTCAGACAATGAAACTAAAGCCAGAAGTTCTTATGGTTATAGCTGCAGGCTGAGGTAGCTTTACTTAGATAATCACTGGGCAAATAGCCCTCTGCAAGTCCAGCCACCAACACAATTTTGTTTTAAACATAAAAATACTCCATTGGTGAGAAAATATTGGTCAATTAGCAATGCCATTTTATTTTTTGCTTTTCTGTTGCAGCTGTATACATCTTTACCTCCTCCCCATGAAACCGCCCACACATCCACAAGACAGTGGTCATTCACAACAGATCTTGGATAGGCCCCATCACCCCAGCATGCTGGCACAGAAAACTGTCTGTAAGATGGACAGCAGTAATACCACCCTGGGTTATCAGTTCCTCTCTGCAGCTAACACTATCCCCTCACATTCTCAACTGCAGTGTGAATGTCACTGTGAGGACCTATATCAGCAGATGCTTTAAACAAAGAGTGGTGCTCGGGGATCAGAGATGCTGAGTCTGCTCTGCCTCCTGCTTCCTGCTTCCCCTCATGACCTCGCTTGGAGTGTGAGGATGGTCTGCTCCCTGTCTGGGAACCAGCAAACTAGGCCAGATGGAGGCAGGCAGGGACAGAGAGGGATGGAGAACCCCCAAGACAGGAAGGAAATACAAGGGTGTGACCAGTGTGCAGGCTGAGTTAGTCTTCACTGCTAACCTGTTGGGTGCCCTGGCTGTCACAGCTTTGGCCTCTCATTAAATCCGAGCCTCCCCTTCCATTTGATAGTCATCATTCAAGATAGCCTTGCTGCTAGAAGTGAACAGTCTGCCTGCCTTACACCTGTCAATCACAGCCTGTGTCACAGCATTTATTTTCACAGGGCTCTGGAGGGAAAGGCTTAAAGGCAAACTTGCTGCCCATTCTTTAGGCAGGAAGGAAGCAGATGCACAGTCAGTACACACATAGCACAGCACATGCAGGAGGGACTGGACCCCAGAGACCCACTGCCTCCTCTCCTCCGAGCCCCACCCCTTCTGCATCCATTGCTCCCTAGTCTGTAATGTCTTTTGTCTCTCATCACCAGTCAGAGAATTCCACAGATGCTTCACCTGTGAGGCAATAGTTGTTTGTTTTTCTGTTCTGCTTCATACAGCAAAGGGTCTATGAGGTTTGATTTTGCTGCTTTATTGCATATTTACAACAACTGTCCTGGTGCTGGTCAGTATCTGAAATCCACCACATTTAGTCTCCTCCCAATGTACTATTCTAAATGAGCCCTTCAAAAAATAAGTCCCAGCCAGGCATTGTGCAGAGCCCACCAAGATTAGGCTACCAGAGCCCTGGTTAGTGAGCACACGTAGTTGGAATAACTAGCTTCTCCCACTGGGGGGATTACTCACACATGGGGCTGTCCTCCGTGTTCTTTCTTGAAATGCAGTCAATTCTCTCCTGGTGGGACCCTAAGCTCCCCAGGGCGGCTGCTCCTGGAGGCTCAGCGATTTGCCTACAGCGACTGTAAAGCCTTCCTCCTTAGCTTCCTCTGCTGCGATGCTAGCTGCATCACCAGCCTATTAAGGCATCCATTCAGCTCCAGATGCTGCTCTGTTGTCACTGATCCGAGTGCTGGAGACTCAGATTTTGTGAAACCTGTAACCCTGCCCGGCAAGAGTCAGGGAGCGGTTCCCAGCTGAGGAGAGTGCTTCAGGCAGATGCTCCGAGGATGCAGAAGCAAAGTTTGCAGCCTGGCTCAGGAACACACAGAAGGGTTGAGAGGACAACTGACTGCCCTCACAGAAACAGCTGGCATCCTGCGCAGCGACCCAGACACAAGCTGCTTGAGCAGAGTCCCATACAGGGACTGCAGCATCAGCAGCACAGACAGAGACTGGCTGAGTGGCCACTGAGATGTCTGTAAATGCAGTCTACTCAGAGACTCCTCCACTGTGTGTGCGAGGGAGCAGAGTGGGGGGGGGCTGAGGCCCCTCGGAAGCAGATGGGCACATGGACACATGCTGCCAGTCTTCTAGGTGTCACAGGGATGCCTTTGTGCCCACTTCTTCAAGCAACACCAACTTCCTACTAGAGGCATAAAAAGCCTTTGATCTTGAAGACAGGATTGGTGGCTCTTGAGTAGGAGAATAGCTTGGTCAACAAACCTTCTGACTGTTATCTTGTCCCACCCCCCCCCCAACCCCCCAAGGACAGCAGCTCCTGTGGTTTCAGGGCTGGGATCCTGCTTCTGCCTTTTAGTACAGAAAGGCGAGAGTGTGGACTCTGGCCTATACACTGCACAAATGTGGAAATATACCAGGGAAACAACTGCCAAGAGATGATAACACCATCTTTTCTTTTGGAATACACACACACACACACACACACACACACACACACACACACACACACATCCTAGTTCATCCAAACCCAATCACTACTCTTCTACTGCAATCACCACTGGGGGCTAAGTGAGACTGCAACAAAGATGAACATAACTCAATCCCAACTTTGAAGAAACTATTACCTGGCCACTGTTAAGTCACAATACAGACCCAAAAGTCCAGGTGCCAGAAACAAAGCACAGACTAATGCAATCAGTTTAAAGTTCACTGTCCTAAAGCGACAGTTCCCCCTCCTGATAATACCCTCACTTGCTTCCCTTTTAGTCTTTGTTCAAGTGTTGGTTTTTTATTTACTTCGTGGTGTGTGAATGTAACAGCAAAAAGAACAG